TTCCGTCATTTTGAAATTCCTTAGTAATCTTAAATTTCTTCATCCAAACATAGTGTTAGAAAATCATGTTGTAAACGGCGCTGATTAAAACAATAAAATTTGCACATATACACCTTTATAATTTCAATGATGTTTTTCACACATGGTAATGTTAGAGAGATCTTCTATTTAAATCAAATTTAATAAATTACAAGACATAGTTGTTAATGCTTAAATCATTATTTAAGTATTAATTAATATATTTATTTTCTGTTAGTGATACATTACGTAAACAAATTTAGTACGAAATTGATGTATCCTTTCACACAGTATAGAAATACTTTTTTTTTTAAAGAAAACTACTTTCCAATGGGCTTCTTGTGCAACAGTTACCTTGATATTTTTTAATTTGTTTTGACAAGTAATAATTTGAGTCTTCTTCTTCTTCTTCAACAACTTGGCCTTCATTTGGTTATAATTTTATTTGTTTATTAACGCGGTTCAAACAAATTTCTCTCAAATTTCAAACCCATTTTTGGCCGACAAATCTGTGACAATTACAGGTATAAATAATTTGAGATCAAACAAACAAATTTGTATAATATTCTGGATGAAATCAGAGGAAAACCCATCATTCATTGTCAACTTAAGCAGCACCACCGCTCGTGATTTTAGTCGTCAATTGTCAGCATCATATGTGTAAGAAATTGGAATTTCACCGAAAGAAAAATAATTTGGAATAGCTTCATGATTTGATGTTCCAAGCCTTGGATTAAATTGATGATGCAAGTGACATTGTGCAACTTAAAGGAGAGAAACACTTGTTGGTCTTTAATGTTTTTGTTTATGTTTACTTTTTATTTTATGATTTTTTTTTTGTTTTATTTGATTAAAAAATTAGCAATAAACATGATTGTGCAGGAGTAAAAAAATAGTGAAAATTATTTTCCATAAATAATTGCGTGTTTCTCTCTCTATAATATATATATATATATATATATATATATATATATATATATATGTATGTATGTATATGCACACTACCGTCATCTTTATTTTAAACTTAAAATGAGGTTAAGGTCAAGTTGATCATGAAATTTAACTTTGAAAGAGATATAGTTGATAGAGATGTAGTTCGAACACCTCAGCTCACTTGGCCTGGGGCTTGCATGAAGTGATAAATTGCTTGGGGTTACGATTGGTGGAGGATTCAGGTCCAAATGATCTTATCAATAATACGAAAATGACTTGCATTATCATGATAAACCTAATGCGAGAGAAAATGATTTGATTTCACTAATCTGATTTGACCACTATAATATAGAAGGACGTGTTATATTATGCAATGTTTAGCGTGGCACGTATCCTATATTGTGATTTATGAGCTTGTTCAGTCAAAAGATAATGCAATTGGTGTAGCAGGCCATTAAAAGGATTAGCACTGGCGATGGTCACCATTTAATGAAAGGTTATGCATCACCACCGGGTGTATATACAATGACCTATAGATCTTATAAGTAACAACATTTTCTCGACTTTATCAAGCTAGCAGGAGTTTCATGTGGATTTTTTTTTGCTTTGTTCTGAATTTTCTCTACATTCAACACGAATATTGGGTCTAAAGTAGGAATTGATTAAGTAATTTATTAATTTGATGTATTTGAAGAAAGTTGAGATTTCATCATAAAATTAATTGGCAAAATTGAGAGTAGCTTAACTTATGTATAAGCCCATGCAAGGTCCATTCTCTCACCATGTGTGATTCATTCTCAACACGAACCCTTACGTGTGACGAATATTCAAACCTAGCATATGGACAAAATAAACATGTGATGTTGAGCATATTTTGCCATTGGGCTTCACATATGGGTCAACCTACTATAAAAACATAAGTTGAGGTTCCACCAAAAGCAAATTGGCAATATAGAGATTAACACCACTTACTCATAGCTATGCAAGGTCATTATCCAATCAATGTGTGATTCATTCTCAACACACCCCCTCACGTGACGAATGTTCAAGCCTAACACATGAACAATACAAACAAGTGACTTGAAGTATGTGTGGCCATTTAGCTTCACATATGGGACAACCTGCTCTAATATCATGAAAAAAGTTAAGGTTCCACCATAAAACTTCATAATTAATCTCACCCAAAAGTAGTAATCACTACGTTATAAATATTAGTGGGGGTGTAAAGTAGAATTGAAGGGTCTTTGAAGCCAATGGTATTCTTGCGTACTTTTGGACCTCTCTAATGAAAAGATCAGCGGTTCGTAGACTTTGGGTAGACGATTGGGCAGATGACGGTGGACTCCTTTAATTGTAGACTTTCTGATAATAAGAGAAGGAGGTGCCAATTGCCATACGAATTTAGATATATGCCTTTCACACCAATTTTCTTGCTTTTAAAATTTCGGGACCTACTTTTTGGCCATGTCTTCATTCCCACTTCAAGACAAGACTGTCTGTTCCGATATATCTTTGATTTGCTTTCTTTGGGTTTAATTTGTTCTCAAGATTTTCAGCCAAAGTATCCGGAGATTTTTCTTGTTTGGGATAGCACGTTTTGAGATCAAGCAATCAAACCATAACTATATATCTAGAGGCTTGATTGGATGCATGGTTGCGCCGTATATTCTTTACTACTGCTACTAATACTTTTCAATGCCATTACCACTTGTCTGCCTAACATCTTGAGTTAGTCCACTCTTTTTCCATCATTTCTACTTTTTCACATGAAATTAAACTAGCCCTCTTGTTACACGTGTGGTAATTATTTTATTATTTATTTGTTTGTTTGAAAAAAGATGTAAAACAATGAATAATGTATTTTAAAAATATTAACCACCCAGTCTCACTAGGTGGGTGTTTTTTCATTTTTTTTCCTTTGAAATTCTAATAGAAAGAGGATAATTTTGAAATTATGAAAGTTTCACCTGTTTTTTATCTTTGTCTTCTCCCCTTATATAGATAGATAATGTTGACTGTCATAATAAATCGCCATATATAGGCCATGTCATCAAATACGAAGACAGTCTGATAAAGGCATCTCTCAAACTTGATGGAATAAAAGTACAAAAATATCTCACGTTTTTGTCAAAATTTACCTACGAATAATTAACGCGATCGAGCACAGAAGCATACCCAATTTTTGCTGTAGCTTATAACTAAGTGCCTAATTTCTTGCCAGTTTTGTGAGTATGAATATTATATATCAACCTAAAGATATACAGTTTGGCTATATATAAAAACGCCGGCTGCCACCAACGGATATTTCTCCTCTTTCGAAGATGTCAGTTAACGTAGGCAGCAAGGAACCTTAACATCTTAAGAAACCCAACTTCATGCATTCTATTATATTTTATTAAAATCAAATATAGAATTGAGTCAAAAATATCTACTCATTTTTTCTTTTCTTGACATTTTATAAACGTCTCTCATTTAAGAGAGGAGATATTTGAACTTGTATGCTCATTATCAAGACTTGTCGAGCTAACGTAATCAACATCTGCCAGTCAAGAATGAGAATTTACGTCGACTACTAGTCTACTGCTATTTTCGTCAGATGCATGAAGGACCACATTATGGAGTCCTCGAGTGGGTAATAGTCTTTTGACAGAAAGAAAAATGAGAATGGGCAATGACGTAATGGTCATTAGTAGACTTGGGCCTCTCCACAGTTAACTATATGTGTAAGCCTGTATAATGAATTCTCACATGATCTTATTCCAAACTCAAACATGATCTACTCAAACATATCAAATTACAGGACAAGCCCAAACCCATGGCTTTCGTTAAGAATCAAAGATGATTGTGCAGGGAAGTAAACAAAAAAGAGAGTGATTCTAAACCAAATGGTCACTCTAGTCTAGTGGTGCCACACTACTCTAGTGTCTACTATAATACTGCCATACAACAAGTTAAAACTTGGTCACTCTGATCAGAATTTGTCTTCCCAAACATGCATGCTGACTAGAAGGGTTGGGGTTTAGGGTTTGGTATAGGGCAAAGAACAGAGAAAAAAAAAACTTAGGTTTCTTGATAGTAGATACCATATAGAAATAATGAAATGGATCATAATCATTCATAGACCTTCAATTTCAATAATTGAAAGAAAAAATAATAACACACACACACACAAGTCTTCCGCTTCAAAAAAGAAAAACCCTCCCCAAAGAAAAGCAAGAGAAAAAACCCTCCCCAAAGAAAAGCAAGAGAAAAACCCTCCCCAAAGAAAAGCAATCCTTCTTAATCTTTTTTTTTTCCTCTTTGATTTTAGTTTGTAGTCTCTCTCTCTCTCTCTCTCTCTCTCTCTCTCTCTCTCTCTCTCTCTCTCTCTCTCTCTCTATGTTGAGGAGAGCTTTCAGTTCGTGATTGTGGTCACTTTTTCACTTTGTCGAGGAGAGATTTTGGGGTTGTGTTCCTAGTCATGGTTTGTTCATTCTCAGATTTCGAGTGGTGATTGTTGTTCAAATATGAGGTAATGGTGTTTGTGATTTGTGTGTAAGAATGTGAGCATAAGTATGACTATGTGAACTTAGTTACAGGATTAAAGACTGAATAGGAAGTCTTATCGGGATTGGATTTGTGAATCCATATTGGTGCTGAATTACTATTTCATAGGTATTGTTTTTCTATATGGATTTTAATAGGGAAATCCTTATGGAAGAAGGCTAGGATTATGTAGTATATATATATAGTGGCCTCTGCTCTCGCAGTGTGTGCTCAACTCCGGACTAAGACCTATTGTTAGTTAAGAGCCTTTGAACACTGAAGAGTGGAGAAGGCGCATTGTGTCTTGTTGCAGAGATTAAGCATGGCAGCCGGTTTAAGTTCTTCCGCAGGTATGTCTTTTCTCTGTGCACTGCTTTATGGTTTATGGTTTTGTGTTTTAATCACGGTAACTTGCTTTGCATGATCTTGATGTTGTGTTTATGCTAACATGTGGTATCAGAGCCCAAGGTTCATAAATTATAAGTTATGTGATTGAAACCAGTAGATTCCAAAAAAACATAAATAATATTTGAGAGAAATAAGTCTTCATTGCTTGGTGGGAGAATCGAACACAGGTTCTTGTATTAATCCTTGCAAATAACGACAAAACTTGATTATAATAATAATATAACCGTTGGAATTTAAGAGGATGTTGTTGTTGGATTCTCTGCAAATCCATACGAAGGGTTTTCTTTCGAATTGGGGTTTTCGATTAAGAATAATATCCAACAAAATGTGTTTCTGGGTTATAATTTTATCAATCTTGCAACATATATGATTGATTTGAATGGTTATTCCGCTGCGCTGCTTCAAATTTGGATCTGTGCAAGGTACGATTGATAAATTGCAAGTTTTATTTTGGCTACTTCTGCAGTTAGTCTGCAGATTGAATCGAAGGTTTATATATAAGATTATGATAACAAAATCTATATGGATTTCTTTGAAATTGAAACTATTATGCAGAAACTTAGACCTTGGGTGTTCGATCATGTTTTATCTGCAATTGTTTTAAAATCTGTAGATTACTAATGCACCTTTATGTATGTTAAACCATGAATAATGGTTATAATGCATGAGACATCTCATGATTATCTATTGTTGCATATCTTCTTATTAATGAGTCAGTTTTTCTATGTATGCTTATCAATGATGTGTTGCTAAGACTATATGTATGAATCATTGATGCAAATTGTGATGTGCAAACTGTAAAGGAAATCAGGAACCTAACTGGTTCATGTTTGTGATTTCTTCCGCAGTGTCTGCAATAACAATGAAGACCCTAAATTTGGCCAACATTCCAATTCTCACTGGTGGTAGTAACTACAAGAAGTGGAGAAGGGAAATTGGATTTCTATTAACTCTTAATGAGTTTGATATAGCAATTGACAATCCCAAGCCTGTAATCACTGATCAAAGTACAAGGGTGGAAAAGGCAGATCATGAGAGATGGTCAAGAGCCAACAAGGTGGCGGTTTCTATCTTAGAGAGTGGTATGACTGATACCATTCGAGGTGGGATCAAGAAACATGAGTTAGCTGTGGATTATTTGAAGGCAATTGAGAAGAAATTCAAGGAGTCTCAGAAGGCTGAAATTAGTCAATACATGGCCTTACTGACAACCTATAAGATTGATAGTATTGGTTCAATTCAAGATCACATACTGAAGATGATCGATGCTGCTGAGAAGTTGAACTCAATGGATGTCAATATTGGAGAAAAACAGTTGGTTTTCATGATTATCCAGGCTCTTCCAATCAAATACTCTTAGCTAAAGGTGTCTTAATACACAAGACAAGAGTTGGGATATAGATGAGCTCATCGCACAATGTGTTCAAGAGGAGACTCGGCAACAGTAAGAAAGAGGCAAAGATGTTGAGACTGTGAATTTTGTGCAAGGAGGAAAAGGGAAGAAATTCAACAATGCTGGAAATAATTCAAGTAAGAATTTCAAGTGCTCCAAACCTTCTGATAAGACTGGTACTTCTGCTAAAATATTTGATATTTCTAAAGGGTCTAACAATCTTAAACCAAAAATTAAAAATGTTGCCAAGCTTAAGTGTTTTTTCTGCAAAACTCGAGGTTATCTAAGAAAGGATTGTGAACTTGTTTGGGCCCAAATTTACACCATCGACATGTGCAATCAAGGCCGTTAAGTGAGCATAGCTCTCAACCGTTGGATGGAAAAGTGAAGATAGTTTTGTTGTTGTTAAAAGAAAATATTATGGTTTTTATCATAATAATTATCTTTTAATTATCTTGACAGATGCGAATTATATCTCTAAGCAAGTGGTACAGTTCAAATTAAATTGGGATATGCGTGACATTAGATAGGGAAGCATGCAGATGATAGTCATACAACTGCAAATGGACTAATGCATGCACGGATAGAGAAGCCTAGGTAGGCTTGGCTTTTGGTAGTGATGTGATAAGCCTAGGATTTGATGGTGGAGAGAGAAGCCTAGGTAAGCTAGGTCTTTGGTCATGATGGGATAAGCCTAAATAGTTTTTATATTTTGTTTGAAAAGTCAGCCAACTTATGCCACAGATCAGATTTCATTCTGCGAGGAAGAGTTGCAGTCAGACTCTGCAACATTATATGACCATGCAAGTCAAGTACTTCAGTCTTATAAATACAGATGTGGTAACGAAAAGAGCCCTCCAACTCAACACACAATTGCCATGCGCAAACTCTCTCAACAACTTTGAGATTTTTATTTTCTCTTTTCGCTGACACATCTTCCGTTGGCATCAACAACACTGTGAAAGCAACCGGTGATATCTTTAGTCGGCATAGATAGCTCTGTCGCCGTAGAATCAGCTGATCTCGCAGCATCTTCCGTTGGCATCAACAACACTGCGGCGATGGTGGTTGGTTACCTATCCAAGTCTTGGTTGAGAAGGATTTCTGAATCCTTATTGATCGAGGTCATCTCATTAGCCTTCTTGGCAAAGTGAGGTGTTACAGCTTACTGAGCTCAGCGCATTGCACGCCGAGTTATTTTATGATTGGATACTCTCAAGTGGGATTTAGAGTTCGGCATTCAGACGGCCGAACCACGTTATCATTAAGACTTATATCCGCTTTGAGTATTTGTGCCCTTACACTTTGGTGTCGATTCGGCGTGAGTTTACTCTGACGAATACCATCACTGTGACCGAATCCAACGACAACGATTCGTGAACTTCGTAAGAATAGTAGCCTTGTCTTCAGGTTCGAGAACCCAAGAGGCTGAGACGTGTTCCTTCCTCGGTAGCAATCGCAAGACGCAGAAGTCAGCTGCGCACCCAACGCAACATCAACAAATTTTACTCATCGGCCGAGCTCGGCCGTCGAGTTGGCACGCCCCGCACACAACTGAATGACGTAGTTAGTTTACTAATTACTCGGTATGCGCGCCACGTAGGCTTGGTAGTTTTAGGGTCAACAGAACTGTTTAAGGATTATCTGAAAGCTAATGGCAAAGAGGTAGTTAATGTCTGTGAAGAGTCTTTTGATCAGTGGGAGTAGTTTGTTATTCTGTTTTACAAAGAGCAATTACTGCATTAAGGACAATTGCAAAATAAAGTTTGAGAAGTGCTGCTACTGTGAAGTTTGAAGAGCTAGTGCGGCAGTAATGTTCTTCTCTAAAGTTAAGTTTATGTTTAGCTAGTTTAATTATCAATTAGTATAATTGTTAGCTAGGTTTATTGCATTCAGAGATTCAATTTTTGTAATTGATTGGTCTGATATATATATATATATATATATATATATATATGTTTCTGCTGCTGAGTATTGGTACTCATTTAATAAATGGTATGTTTTGCTATAGTGTAATTTAGTGTATGTTTCAATAACAATCTTTTCCCAAGGCTTGTTACTTTAAAATTTTAAAGTTTTGTAGTTTTGGATGGTGGTCTTATTGTAGAGGAAGTTTTGTTTGATGCTTTGGAAATAGTTTGGCTGTTTTAAGCTTATGATTAGTAAATCGTTTTAAGTCAATGTTATGTTGCTTTCCTATAAGATCAATTTATGTTTTGGTTTTCTTGAAAAGTGGGAACATATTATGCGATTGACTGTTTAATATCAGTTATGTTATGTGTCATATTTGCAGTCTGGATATGTGTGAACTTAGAATCAATACTGCATTTTGGTTGTGGTTTATGATTCTCTGTTTCCATGTTTTGGAGTGTAATAGAATGATGGTCATAACAATGGATTCTCAGGTGAGGCTCTGTGATCACTTCTTAATTGGAGAAATTCATGTCTGAAACTGATCTCATGTTAAAGTGGGAGAAAATGTAAGAAATGAACATGAGATTGAGTGTTTTTTACGGTGAGTGGTTAAGTTCAATTAGAATAAGAAAGCCTTATGAGAAGCTGTGAACAAATCCTTGTTTGTGAATGATTCTGTTAAAAATGTTTGAACTGATACGGCTTGGAAAACATAAGTTGTTTTCTATAAGGATTGCAATAGGAAATCCTTGACAAGTTATAAGAAGGATATACGTGTTTTGGATTCAGTTGATGCTTTGAGAAATCTTTGTGATTTGACTCAGGTAATTGTTTTGAATTCATAGGAATTGCGGACATACAGTTTATTGTCTGTGATGAACTTGATTATTTTGAATTAAGTTAAGAAATAGTGGGAGTGGATATTTAGGTCCATTAAGTATCAGCATGATCATAATGTTATATGTGCAGATTGGACATAAGTGGTTTGAAAGCGCCGGTTGCATAATGGTTGTGACTATGAGTTTTCAGATTCTTTGTTTTGAGATGCATAGGTAGATTGTTTATGATGTTGCTCATAAGGCTTAGTGATCACCCTATTTGTAGTCTTAATCGAACTGGTTTCTTGGTTCATACTTGCTCAAGTGGGAGAATGTAAGAATGTGAGCATAAGTATGAATATGTGAACTTAGTTACAGGATTAAAGTCTGAATAGGAAGTCTTATCGGGATTGGATTTGTGAATCCATATTGGTGCTGAATTACTATTTCATATGAATTGTTTTTCTATATGGATTTTAACAGGGAAATCCTTATGGAAGAAGGCTAGGATTATGTAGTACATATATAGTGGCCTCTGCTCTCGCAATGTGTGCTCAACTCCGGACTAAGACCTATTGTTAGTTAAGAGCCTTTGAACACTGAAGAGTGGAGAAGGCGCACTGTGTCTTGTTGCAGAGATTAAGCATGGCAGCCGGTTCAAGTTCTTCCACAGGTATGTCTTTTCTCTGTGCACTGCTTTATGGTTTATGGTTTTGTGTTTTAGTCACGGTAACTTGCTTTGCATGATCTTGGTGTTGTGTTTATGCTAACATTGTGTGCTCGTCAAAGGACTATGAGAAGGAAACTTGACGTTTGTTGGAGGGGACTCATAGTAGAGCTTTTTGCCAACAATTGCAAAATCATCAGAGATTGGTGTAGTCTTTTCCTCGTGAAGCCTCTACAATAGTTCTCGAGCCTGCAATTAATGTTTTAGTTCTCGCAACTAGGGTTTAGGGTTTAGGCTCAGGGTCCTCCAAGATTGAATAATTATAATGTATTTTTTGTGTGTTTGTAATTGTAAGATTGTGATATTCTTTTGACATGTATAATCTCTTGAATATTCTAAAAGAGATAAACATGATGAGTTTTTTTTTTTTAATTAAAAAAAAAATCTTTCGGTAACAAAAAGCCTTCAGCTTCAAGGATTACGATTCGTGGTAATTAAGATAATAAAAGCTAAATTGCAATGAAATACAATACCGGGATTTATTCTATCATGATTACTTGGTCAAAATGTTCATCTCACTAAATATTCCCATAAAGCAAAAGCACCAAACAAACAGACCAGTCACAAAGCATACATAAGAGCAAATAAAGTAAAAAAGAAAAAGACATTAAAGTGAACACCACCAACTACTACTCAGATCACACTTCACTTTACTCATCTAGCTACTTTGCTTAAACTGCCAAATTTTTGTTGGGATGTACACCATCACTCAAGCTTAACCTAGCTAGCTAGCATCTCTCATGTCTCCTCTAACAACTCCTATGCCGTTTGTCCTGCTCATTTTCCTTACCCTTCCGTTTGTCAGCCTCACGGCACCTCAAGCCAGCCTCTGCAGAACTTCTTGCGGCAACATTCCCATCAACTACCCTTTCGGCATCGATGAGGGCTGTGGGAGTCCTTACTACAAAAACATCCTCGTATGCTCCGAATCCTCTAAACTCGAACTCCGAACACCTTCCGGAAGATACCCCGTTAAATCCATAAGCTACTCCGACCCTCACATTCTTCTCATCGATCCTTTCATGTGGAATTGCCTAGACGGTGACACATTCCGAGCCACAAGACCTTTTAGCCTCGACACGAGCACGCATTTATCTCTCTCTCCTCAAAACGACTACCTATTCTTTAATTGTAGTGAACAAAATGTGATCATTGAGCCAAAGCCTGTGTTTTGTGAGAGGTTTCCGGAGCGATGTGACTCTTCGTGTGACAGTTCTAGTTATCTTTGCAGGCACTTGCCTGAGTGCGCCTCAGCGTTGAGGACAAGTTCTTGCTGCTCTTACTATCCCAAAGCCACTGAGTCTCTGAGGTTGATGTTGAAGTATTGTGCTACTTATACTAGTGTGTATTGGAGAGCAGTGGTGAAAATCAGCCGGATGATCAAGTTCCTGAATACGGAATTCGTGTCAATTTCGATATTCCGGTGACCACCCGTTGCCTTCAGTGTCAGGACACATCTAAAGGAGGCGGGACATGTGGATTTGACACGAAAACACTCAACTTCTGGTGCTTATGTGATAGAGGAAATGTCACTACGTATTGTAAAGGTACGTTTTTGAGCCATTTAATTAGCCTTGTTGTTAGAGTGTATAGGGTGATGGGTAGGAGTGGACTAGGTTCAGGTTCGAAACTCTCCGATGTAACTTAAAAAAGTTTTTTAGTCATTACATTGTATCAAACATTAATTTCCCTTCTAATAATTTTTATGATTGTTGATTATTTAATTACAATGATGCAGATCACAGCATTTCTCAGAATAGGAGGAATGGAGTACTTGCAGGTGATTCGCTTCTGAGATTTAGGCTTTTAGCGCGAACAAAATTTCATAAATTCAAGTATATATAGCTTGGATGTTGTGTGCTTAACTATAAGTTGGATTTTATTTTTTTAATGTTGCAGGGACGATTAGTGGAGTGACAGTTGCAGGAGCCTTTGGAGTTGGAGCAGGAATTTGGTACTTGAAGAAAATGAGGGCTAAATCACCAGTAACATGTGGGGTTCAGAGCAATGAGAATAGGCTTTTCTAAAGACACTAAACCAAAGTAAAAGCATCCGCCTTCTTTCTTTACCTTTTCTACTTTTTTTTAATCGCTTTTTGCACATCGACATGCTTTTCTACGTCTCTTGATTCTTTTCCTGTTTATATACAACATTGAGACAGCCAATGAAGCGTGAGAGTAACTTTTCTGCTTGAACAATCTAGTGATGTTATATTATTTGTATCTATTTGTTACTACTGAAATATCAACAGTGCCGTGCACTGATATTATAACACCCAAATTTTTTATACGAAAACCTGCAAGCAAAAGCGACAATAGCTACTTAGTGCTTTTCATCAATATTGTCAAATTTTCTTGTGACAATGTCAGTAGCTAGCCATCTCACTAAAACAAAATTCTTGGATCGGAGATATATCATGCATCCTAATAATAAAAAGTTCAGTAATTCCTCACTCTATGTTGTGCCATCTCTAACATTATGTAGGAACACAAATTGGATAGACTCACAACACATATAACAAAGAGTTTCAATATTGATAATAGAGATCCAAGAAGTCAATGTACGCACAGAGCTTCAATTACGGAAAACTTAAATGGTAGGACCAAAAACAAGAAAAAAAAGTTTGGAAAAGGGTATATATATATATATGGCAAAGCAAATTAACATACTTTGCCAACAAAGCAGCGTAGAGGACCTGCATTTGAGGTTAAAGCAGGAACCATGGCTCCTGGAAAGACCTTAAACGACTGCTTTCGAGAGTAAAGTGGATAGCAGTTTCCATATCCAGATTGAACAAAAAAAGCACCATTCTTGAACACATCCCCTGAAGATCTCCATTTCCAATTATTCCAACTGCCTCCAGCCTCTTTCTTTGTAACCTGTTTGGCATAAGAAGTTTCAGGAGCTATGAAGTAGTTCCCTTCACTGAAAATTGTTGGATTGGCACTGCCTCCTACGGCATACATTTTCCACTCGTCATATCTATTGTTGGCCAGGTGCGCATACCCAAACCTAACCCTTTTTTTTTCACGACAAAAACAATGGCATAAATTAATTAAACAATGTACTCTCATGTATTTTCTCTTTTCAAAGAGTTGCAGGTAAGTTATTGCGCTTACCTTGGCATTCTTTCAACAAGGCCAGCCTTAGAGTACTTGGATCTAACGGAGGACATGACACAGGACAGAACACAATGGCGTTCTAAGATTCATATAGCCGATCCCACTCAGTGACTTGGATTTTCCAAGTCTCCAACCGAGAAGTTTTCCTCCCTCGGGAAATTAAGGGAACACTACCTCAACCTATATGCTCCACTCACAAAGCTTCAACATACAAGCTTCAACAAAAGAAAATTCAAAGAACTTAGCGAAGAAGGCTTTGGTGTATTTAACACAATACGTTGAAATGAAGGAAAGCTTATTTATTGATATCCCCGATAAGTTACAAATATGTACATATACTGGAGTCAAATTAAACAAACAAGAGGGAGCCTTCACAAAGGTTGCTTAGGAGAAGTCTCAGCAGTCGGAAGAGCCCCAGAAAGAGAAGGCACCGGAGGGGGCTCATTCGGAGCCTCAGTACTGGACAAAACCCTAGAAGGAGGAGGCATCAGAGGTTGATCATTTGGAGCTTCATTACGCGGTACAGCCCCAGAAGACGAAGGCAATAAATGCCTTTGGAACAAACCCACAAATCTCTGATGATCAAGTAAAACCTGACCATCAGATTCCTTCATCTGGTCAAGCTTCCTCTTCATGTTTGTAGCATAGTCATGTGCGAGCCGGTGCAACTGTTTATTCTCATGCTTGAGCCCTCTAATCTCCTGTTTGAGACTCATCACTTCAGCCGCCCAATGATTCAAACTTGGCGGGTTCGAGCAAATAGGCGTTGGGCCATATTAGACACAGAACCTGCACATTGAACACTGAGAGCCAGAGAATCCTTAACAGCCAACTCATCAGACCGTTTGGAAAGTAGTCTGTTATCTTTGGGAGTGAGAAGGTTCCTGGCCACTACCGCAGCGGTTATATCATTCTTCATCACGGAATCCCCAACGGTAAGAGGACCAGTAGGGGAGACGAAGGATGGGCGCCATATGTTGTCTGGAGAAGGCGGGGCTGCCTCTTCAACAAGGTTCAAGTCAAAACGACGGTCGGAGGGGCCAGACATTTTCAAAGTGTTGAAGAGAGAAGAGGTCGGACAAAATCAAGATCTTAGAAGTGCAAGAATGGGAGCTTTCTACTGGTGGATATTCAAGTGTGCTTTGGAACTTAATGTCAGCCCCTATAAAATCTGCACTCGACGAAGCTTCAGAAAATCGAAGAGGCGCTTGCTCAGAAATCGAAGAGGCGTTTGCTTTCTCAAAAGCTGGGCTGCTCAGAGACCACGAGGGTCGATCTCAGAAATCGAGAGGCGTTTGCTTTCTCAAAAGGGCTGCTCAAAGACCACGAAGGCCGATCTCAGAAAATCGAGAGAGGCTTGCTTTTCTCAAAGCTGGGCTTGCTCAGAGACCACGAGGGCCGATCTTTCAGAAATCGAAGAGGCACATAGCCTTTCCCAGCACTTGTCGCACCTGACGAACTTCGAAGAGAAAGTAGAAGAAAGCACATGAATCGCACTGTTCAAATCACCCACTTCCCACATGCAACAGTAGCTCATGGGTACCACAGATAACTTTGCCAAAGTTCTCTGACAAAGTTGAGACACTTGAAGCTTGCAGCTCCCACTACATCGCTCTGACCAAGAAGGGTAAAAAAATTGCAAAGAAAACAATACTAACAAAGTTTAAACACATAAATTTTGAAGGTCTAGCTACCATATTATTACCCACAAGGGTAAAGGAACAGTACCACTGCTGGATAATTGGAAAGTCCGGTGTGTCAACCTCTGTGCTTCGTGGCAAGGTAGACTAGCAAACATGCCCAACCTGTACTCACATTCGAGAAAACACTCCCAACAAGATTGCTTGCTCCAAAATCGAAGAGGCACGCCCTCCGAATCTCGAGAGCCAGACTCCCCAACATGATTACTTTTCTCAAAAATCGAAGAGAGGGTAAAAGGAACAGTACCACTGCTGGATAATTGGAAAGTCCCTGTGTGTCAACCTTTGTGCTTCGTGGCAAGGTAGACTAGCAAACATGCCCAACCTTTACTCACATTTCGAGAAAAACACTCCCAACAAGATTGCTTGCTCCAAAATCGAAGAGGCACCGCCCTCCGAATCTCGAGAGCCAGACTCCCAACATGATTACTTTCTAAAAAAATCGAGAGGAGGGTAAAGGAATAGTTACCACTGCTGGATAATTGGAAAGTCCCTGTGTGTCAACCTCTGCTTCGTGGCAAGATAGACTAGCAAACACGCCCAACCTTTACTTCACATTCGAAAAACACCCACAACAAGATTGCTTGCTCCAAATCGAAGAGGCACCGCCTTCCGAATCTCGAGAGCAGACTCCAACATGATTACTTTCTCAAAAATCGAAGAGACACCGCTCTCCGAATCTCGAAGAGCCAGACCCCCAGCAGGATTTGCTTTCTCAAAATCGAAGAGGCATCGTTCTCCGAATCTCGAGAGCCAGATCCCCGACAGGATTGCTTGTTCAAAAATCGAAGAGGCACCACTTTCCCAACTTCAAGAGCTGGATCTCCTTGGATAAAGCTTGTCTGTAATCTTCACACGCAACATCAGCTTTCCAGATACCACAGACCACTTTTTCAAAGTGCTCTGACAGAGTTAAAACATGTGAAGCTGGCAGCTCCCACTACCGTGCTATAACTAAGCAGGGTAAAGGAATAACATTATTACTTGATGTTAGGGAGACTCCTATATATGTCGACCTTCATCCCTAACGGACAGGCAGACCTGCAAAAATGCTCAACCCTTTCTCTTATCTGAGAGGGCACTCCCAACGAAGCCTTTCGAAATATTCAGCTTTCTTTCCCCCCGATAATACCTCTGTAAACAAGCTATACTAGAGCAAGAATATCTCATATCATCAGGGTTAAAAGCAAGAGTATCTCATATCATGCTTTTTTCCTGTCTTTTCCTTTGGCCTTGTTCTTACCTGCAAGACAAGGAGAAAGAGAGCAATCAGTCAGCACTTGGAATCAAGCTTCCAGCCAGGAACTGACTGCGTGGAACCCCTTACCTGATTACTTACCTGGCATTGCTCTCGAGTACTCATCTTCAACATCTTTATGCTTCCAGGGAAGATACCGCATCTGCCTGAGGAACAGATAGGGCAAGTGAGAAAGGATACAAGGAAGCATGTGGAGACAAGCGTAACAGCACACGTGCCGATACATCACTACTCTGTCAAAAGCAAAAGTATCTCATATCAGCAGGGTCGAACGTACTCTAGATTTGATGGACTTGTTTTGACTCTCAAATTCTTCAGTCGGCCTTATACTCTGGAGGAAACCAGAAAACCCTCCAGCCCAGTTCAAGAATAAGCCTGTGGAAAGTTACTTCTTCAAAAGCAAAAGTATCCCATATCATCTCTTCCTCATTTTTCTTCTCTTTATCCTTCATGCTGCCTGCAAGATAGGGAGAATGTGAACAATCAGCCGGAGCTCTGATTGCTTACCTTGTCTGTCATCTCTTTCAGCAGATCCCCTAGCTCGGCGACTTGGGGGACTCCTACTACATGGTTTGTATCGCGCTTGACCAAGCATGAAACTACAAGTAAGCTTCAAGTGAAATTGATACATTACCTTTGTGCATCTCCACCAGTTACAGATACCACCCCTGGATGGAGGAAGAGTACTTCCAGAGAAGATGCCACATCTACCTATGAGACAGATAAGGCAAGTCAAGACGATACCACACTCCGGTACTTAGAAGTTTCGTGGCTACGAGATCATTCTCCCACAATATTTCCTAATGTCATTTGTACTAAATCATTCACTTGTACTCACTAAAGGAGAGCTTGAACCTATGTACTTGTGTAAACCCTTCACAATTAATGAGAACTCCTCTATTCCGTGGACGTAGCCAATCTGGGTGAACCACGTACATCTTGTGTTTGCTTTTGTGTAAACACTTCACAATGAATGAGAACTCCTCTATTCCGTGGACGTAGCCAATCTGGGTGAACCACGTACATCTTGTGTTTGCTTTCCTATCTCTATCCATTTATATACTTATACACACTAATGACCGGAGAAATCTAGCGAAGATCACAAAAAGTGACCGTTTTCGCTACCTAGGATCTATCTTGCAAGAGATCGGAGAATTAGATGGAGATCTCAACCATAGAATACAAGCTGGATGGATGAAAGAGTGCATCCGGCGTGTTGTGTGACCATCGTAGGCCACTGAAGCTCAAGGGAAAATTTTATAGGACGGCAATAAGGCCAGCGATGTTGTATGGCACATAATGTTGGGCGGTGAAGCATCAACGTACACAACATGGGTGTAGCGGAGATGAGGATGCTTTGTGGGATGTATAGGCACACGAGAAAGGATAAGATTGGGAATGAGGTTATCCGAGGTAAAGTAGGAGTAGCCAAAATTGAAGGAAATATGAGAGCAAATCGGTTCCGGTGGTTTGGACATGTGCAAAGAAGGCCTACTGACGCTCCGGTTAGAAAATGTGACTACGGGACAGATGTTCAGGGCCGAAGGGGTAGAGGAAGACCTAGGAAAACTTTGGAAGAGACCCTAAGAAAAGACTTGAGTACTTGGATCTAACGGAGGACATGACACAAAACCGAGCGCAATGGCGTTCTAGGATTCATATAGCCGACCCCACTTAGTGGGAAAAGGCTTTGTTGTTGTTGTTGTTGTTGTTGTTGACCAAGCAACATCACCTGAAATTAAAGCACAAGGGAGTTAGTTAAATTCGATACACAACAACTAGCTAGCTCTCAATTTAGTTGTATCCTCTATTCAACGTTGGATGAGGTCTCATGCTCTAATTCCCTCATCCATTGACAATAAAACAAGATACATGAACAGACTAGCTAGAAAATAACTTGTTCATTTAGCCCAAAATGTAACATAAGTCGAGCAAAGAAAACAAAAGGCTCAATTAATGGAAATTAATTCATAACCTCATAATTAACCTTTTATGCTTACTTTGTCATGCTGAGAGAAATAGTTGTTTGTGATGGTGACGGCAGTGGAAGCATGGGTGACATCAAGGAGGCCATCTGCGCTACGAGCTAGGAAGCAATGGTCTATCCAAACATGCGAAGAAGCAAAGACAGCAATAGCATCTCCGTCGCACCCTCGACGCTTCCCAATATGTGTAGGAGTGCTCCTAACATTCCCACCCTTCCCAGGCTTACAATCATGAATGCTTATTCCATGTATAATAACGTGGCTAACGCCCTGCACCGTTATGCATGGTCCGTACGCAATTTCAACTTTAGCACCTCTACCATCTATGGTCTTGAAACTATTCATAATGAGCTCATTTTTTAGCGTGATCACCATGTCCTTGGCAAAAACGATCCATAATGGCTGCGTTTGGATCACCCCGTAACGGAGTGAGCCGGGTTTAGGGTTTACTGAGTCATCATTTGAGGTTGTGACTACATAAGTACGCCCGTATTTTCCTCCCAATGCGTCTTTGCCATAGCCTACTGCGCAGTCGGCCAAGGCTCGGCGGTTGGTGGCCCAATTGGATTTGGTGCGCCAACACGAGTCTACCACGTTCATGATGTTTTTGAGAGTGATATTGGGGGTGGTGTAGTAGTCTGGGGAATAGGCTTGAAATGTTGGAGCAATATAAGTTAAAAAACATAAGAGAAATAATACGAGAGGGGCTAGGGAGGCCATGGCTTAATTATGAGTTGATTAAGAAAAACGAACAGAATTAGGAGGATATATAGGGAGAATTGGATACGGTGATGACTAATGAGAAGATTGTGCACACGATTAAAATAGGGAGTGCTTTTGTTTATGTTTTGGTATGTAAGAGTTTTGGGTCTATACAAGACGTGGTTGCACGAACTAAGGCTGGTGGACTTTCTTTTGTAATGTATACCGTCCTGCTTATGTTATGTAAAGAAATAAAATTCTTAGCCAAGAATATATGTTTCAGTGAATGGTGAGGGGCACGTAAAAATTTCGGACCTAATAGAATATGATATATTTACATGAAGAAAATGGGGGATTTGAGTTAAATTATACGATGGGTTAATAATAATATTTTTGTATCAGATTTTTCATGTACAAAAGTCAGAAGGCTTCTCACATATAAGTGAGAGAACTATCATTAAACCATAATATTAATTATTAAATCAGAGAGGCCTATTAAAATTAAGGAAATATAATAATCTCTTAAACTGTCAAGGAAAATAAAATTTGAGAGTATTATTTTAAGAGTTGGATACATAGACTGGATATTGTAGGGGATATATATACTGCATTCAAGAAAAGACTAATTGAACCTAACTAATTAGCATTTGGAATAGGCTACGTTGGAGATTTTTTTTGATAATTAATAGTGTGGTTTATTATTCTACATGTTTTAATAAGGGTGAATGATATGTGGTATAAATTAAATGGCAAAATTGATTAAAGATCTAGTCAAATAGCACAAATAAGGGCAACAAAAATAAAATTTGCAAATTTGTACTAAAAATCCATGACTTGTTTCAAAGAGAATAAATACGTGCATCAAACTCACAAAAGTAGCATGACTTGGTTCCGAAATTTCCCATAGTTTACAATTTTTGATTTAGGGGTTTAAGTTTTAGAGACGCTTTAGGTATTTTTTAGGGATAATTAGACATAACTCCAAAAATTTAGTCAGCCCGACAAAAAAAAAATAGTCAGCTATTAGTTTTAATCCAAGACATCATGCTTAATGATTTTAGGTCCGTTGACTTTATTTCATAATTTTAGTCCATGACATCATGCTTGTTGAGTTGGGTCCATTGACCTTTTATTTAAAGTAAACAAAATAATGAGTCGACCTAATTTTACAAACAAGCTTTTAAAATATTTTTCAAATACCTATTATGCCCTAAGTTGTATGGAGTCCAAAATGATGACCTTCAAACAATTTTTCGTCCTCAAAGAGATTTGTTCAAATCTTTAGCAACTGTTTCTTAATAACTATTTTGTTATTAGGGATTATTTTATTTGAGAAAAAAAAAAGTGGAAGAGGCAACTGATATGGTTACCTCGCAGTAAAGTGTTGGAAAAAAAAAACCCATAAAATTAATTTGTGTTTAATTTACTATATTTCTATTAACTTTTATTTTGGTTATTTTGCTTTAGTTTTGTTGATAGAGTTAATTTGGTCTTTTTATCCACTTTTGATTGACAAAGAGAGTTTTGTTAGTAGGTAGTTTAGATGACGTTAAGGTATTAGGATTGTCATCTTTCAATTATCATTCAATAAATTTTTAGGTTTTTTTTCATGTTTTTGGTGGAATCCAATTTATTACTTGTTTTTTAAGATTTTTATTTGCTATCCTTCTCTTCGTCATGCTGTATCAACATGATTGATAGATCTCGCTTTTAAGGTATATTATTAAAAACTAAGTTAATGTGTTATAATTTAAATAAGATAGTAACTTTACGTGATTGTGTTTAAGAATGACCGAAAAATTGTTTAGCTACATTGAAGCAAATGAGAAAATTCAACTAATAAAATAGAAAGAAACATGCATCAGCCAAACACACACACACACACACACACACAACATCATTAAAAGAAAAAACTAAATAAACAGTAAATGACAAAGCCCATGTCGATGATCACTAGCAAGCTAGCCATTGTACGAGTCCGCACATGCACTCACACAAAGACTCATAACCTTAACCTAAGTACAGACAGTTGTAATTTGAGAGAAAAAACATGCAATTAAATACATAAACCATTAACTACGTAACGGATAGGGATGCACACAGACACGTGCATACATTATTGTGATTCTTATTGTTGAGTAGAAGTATTCGATCTGGGCGGTGTCATGATGATTTCTAATTAAGCATAGTCGCAAAACCCTTTGTCACAGGAAATGCCTATCTTGCAATGGTTGAAACACTTGCCACGGTTTTGATTGTCGGACATTGGTTTGACACAATGAGAGTTGCAGCATATCTCTGACATTTCGCATCTCTTCCCACAAACCCCGTAGTTGAGTGCGTCTGCCCTCATATCCGTACAAACATTGTTCATCAATCACGCCCTAGGCTACCTTCAGTGGCACTACAAACAAGAGGGTTTTGGCCACATCCTCCCCTACCCGCCGGAGTCTTCGAGGCCAGGAACCGGCTTCTTGATGCCGCTGCTTGGTGGTTATTTGGTCTTGCAGAGAGAGTAATGGTTATTAAATGAGCAATACTCAAATCAAATTTCAAAATGATGGAGCTATGTAACAGTAGACAACAAGTGGGTACATAGATGAATATATGGTTACACAAATGTTTATAAGTACGGACATACGGTACACAAAAATACATAAGTACAAATATTTAGGTACATCGATGAATTTTAAAAACATATAGGTATATATGCATGTCCTTTAACGAAAAGGATACCCATTTTTTGGCATATGCTGTTTTAACTGTCTCATTGTTCGATCATATCCTGGGGGCCAATGCAACATAGACATGATCTCATCCAATTAGATGCCCGACTGGCTTTTTCTTTCCAACTTAATTTCCTTCTAATTAACATACGTAAAGTACCAAACTAATCAAATCGAGCGGTGAAAATGATCTCCAAATAAGAACTTAATTAATTAAATGGGAAATAATAATTCCCCTCATAATTAAGAGAGAGAAAGAGATCCACTTAGTTCGTAAGAACCGGCCTCTAATACCAGGTAGAAATGAGAGAATTTAACAAAGGGGTTTTCAATTAGTCCTTTCAAAAGATTAGAATTTCAAAAAAATCTGGTGCTAGATTACATATTCAATTTAATCCCTTAAAGTGTACTTTTATTAAAATTTATATTCTATTTCTGTTATTTAATGGCTCCACATTAAAATTTTAATTTTATTAATATGCACATATTAGTTCTTTGAACATAAATGAGAAATTATTAAATGAAATTAGTGACACATAAATATGTAAATATATAAGTATACAAATGACTGTAACGAAATGTTTGTACCAACATATATTATAATGAACCTAAATATATGTACCGAAATATATTATATTGAATTAATGTACCTAAATTTTAATACCGAAATGTCACATCCTGGCCCGGGGTCCACCACCGTAGCACTATATTGTCCGCTTTGGGCCCCGACCACGCCCTCACAGTTTTGTTTTTGCGAACTCACGAGCAACTTCCCAGTGGGTCACCCATCATGAGAGTGCTCTGGCCACCTTCTCACTTAACTTCGGAGTTCTGACGGAACCCGAAGCCAGAGAGCTCCCAAAATGCCTCGTGCTAGGTAGGGATAGGAATATATATTTAAGGATTACTCCCCTGGACGATGTGCGATGTTACAATCCACCCCCCTTTAAGGGCCCGACGTCCTCGTCGGCACACTTCCAACCAGGATTGGCTCTGATACTATTTTGTCACATCCTAACTCGAGGCGGACCACTTCCCGGGCCCGCTCCACCACCGTAACACGATATTGTCCACTTTGGGCCCTGACCACGCTTTCATGGTTTTGTTTATGGGAACTCACGAGGAACTTCTTAGTGGGTCACCCATCATGGGAGTGCTCTGGCCACCTTCTCGCTTAACTTCGGAGTTCTGATGGAACCCGAAGCCAGTGAGTTGTAACATCCCACATCGCCCAGGGGAGTGATCCTTAAATGTATATTTTCATCCCTACCTAGCACGAGACCTTTTAGGAGCTCACTGGCTTTGGGTTCCATCGAAACTCCGAAGTTAAGCGAGTAGCGCACGAGGTCACTCCCATGATGGGTGACCCATTGGAAAGTACTCGTGTGAGTTCCCAAAAACAAAACCGTAAGGGTGTGGTCGGGGCCCAAAGCTGACAATATCATGCTACGGTGATGGAGCGGGCCCGGGAAGTGATCTGACCCGGGCCGAGATGTGACAGAAATGTGTGTACCGAAACGTACGTACCAAAATGTATTATATTGAATTAATGTACCGAAATGTATTATATTGAAGTAATGTACCTATATATTTGTATAAATGGATATACCGAAAATGAATTAATGTACCTAAATGAAGATTACACAAATTGTATCGGAATATATTATATAAAAAAAAACTAGTTTACCTAAATGCAGACATCAAAATATATTATGATGAATGAACTGAAAATGAAAATTAAATGTATTAATACATTAAAAATAGGAAATAAAAGAAATAAAACATCAAAATATAATTAACAAATGAGATGATTAAATGTCTCAGGGACTAAAGTTAGATTTTAATCTTACACAAGGTTATAGTCTAAAACTCATTTTTTTTAAGGATTAAATTTATTAAAACAGTATCTTGGAGTACAAAGCAAGATTTCTTAACATACTAAAATTACGAAACACACAAGAATAGGAAACACAATACTAACCCTAAGAGGAAACTGAATCCGGGTCGGATCCTCCTTCTCTAACAAATTACGTATTCTTTAGGTACATTGTAATAAAGGAAATAATCAATTAATAACAAACAATAATTAATTGGCCAAGCCTCCATCAGATGGTAACCTGAATAATTTCAAGTATAGTTGTACCCCCCAAACACTCATTGCAATATATAGATCGAGTAGAATAATTTATCTGCTGATGGCATCATGAAGACATCATAATTATCATGCGTAGCTGCACATCCCATAGACACATGAACTGCCTTTCTTGCACTTTTTGTTGCAGCTCCCACAAT